ACCAGGGGAGCCCAATAATGCACTAAGTTACCGTTTGTAACTCACCTTATTGGGCACAAAAATCAATATAGCCCCAAATCAAAAACAGAAATACAAATGGAAATATAAAAACTCGTCACTCAGGTCTATTTGAAACAATATTCGTTAGTGACTTACTTTGAGGCGTCGGCTAGACCTTAAGCAGGGTTCACCGAAACCTTAGTCTATCCAGCGTCGGATGTCCAAGGTTCTCATCCTCTCCAAGCTGACCGGGAAGCACATTCGTATGTAACCATCATTCGGTCGATATCTCTAACGTTTACGATAGCATCAAATCGGATCTCGAAGCTGTTACACGTCATGTAGCTTTATAAATTTTGAAAAAGAAATTAACGTAACCTCATTCAACCTTAGCCTAACCCAAACTAACATCGTGGGTAGGTTAAGGTTGCGTTACGTTACGTTACGTTACGTTCGTGACGCGAAAGTCGAATGGACACCGTGACGGTTACATAGGAATAAGCGACCGGGGGTGGGTGGGAGCTACACAAAACTGGGCGGCTGGTAGAAGGGGAACCATCGACGTTACCATTCCATCACTTACACACACTTCACTTCACTACCGACCGCGAACGTCACCAACTTTTCGCGAAAATAATATCATTGAAAAGCACTTAAACGATTCGCACACGTAAAAAAAACGCGAAAGAATCTGAAACAAAAGAAAATGCTAAGAATCAGGAAGTCATGTGTTCGAACTTACCGCCGTTGAATACGAAGTAAAAACATGACGCCATCTCGGGAGACTTGGCAGCAGCGGAGCACCCAATGATGAAGGGGGAAGCACCCGGGACTGGCGATGACAGTTGTTAAAGATGGCCGACAACCGCTGATAGATGTGACGTCAGAAAGGAATTTTGGTCCAGAACCGCCATAGAATATCTACTGCCGATGTTTTGAGACTCGCACGTTATCTGCTGACGATGCTTCGTCCATCCGCAACTTCTCAAACGTCCTTTGAATCCTCTTCTCTCGCTTAACAAACTTGAATTGTCCTGAAACAAAAGAAATAAAAAGGTAAAGTGAAAATAAGCAAAAAATTAAAGGCAATATTACATTCATCCTCTCCAAGCTTTGTGGGAGAGGGTGGAGGTCATACCAGACTGGATGGTGGTTGGTAAGAGAACCACTGACCATACCATTCCATCATTATCAATCAGCGAATCCAAAAAGACCTGAAATATAAGAAAAAAGAGCATTACACCTATCTCAAGGTCACTTTCTTCTTAATTAAAGAAACACGTGAAAAATGTAACTATTAGATGGTCTTGTCAACCTACATGGATAAAAAACGATTAACATTAATTAATAATTTGCATACAGATTAATATAAAAGCATTATGATAATAAAGGGATTAAAAACAATTGCTGATCTTCCTGTGAAAGTCATACATATATATAAGAATTTAGCAATTGTTTTTTGTTGAACAAAAGAAAATAATCAACTTATAACTACTGTTTTTGGGGCTCTTTTGTTTTGTTTAAGTAGATTTTTTATTATTTATTTTACGAATTTTTTTAAATATCTTTCCAAACACCCTGTGCATCATTAACGACCAGAGAGGCATCTTGATTCCATAAGGAGTAATTAGCTTGCTAAAATTAATGTTTGAAATGATTCCTTGATTCCTGGTTTTACCCTTCTAGCATAGAGTGCGCGGCCAGCATATTCCCTGTAATTCCCTGCTGTAGTTCCCTAATTATCTATATTTATTTTTGTTTAATTCTTAACGGTTTTTGTGATTAGAATAATGTAGTAGGCACTGCGTTGTGTTGTAAAACAATAAAGCAGTAGGCACTGCGTTGTGTTACAAAACAAAACAGTAACAAAGCATTGCGGTGTTCTACAAAACAATAACACACTGCATTTATTTTAAATTCGTGGCATTAGTAATAGCAAGTAATAGTTATGAAATTCAGGANTTAATTAATATAATTTGTAGGTAAATTATTTTTACAAACCAAAATCTGTGTTGTTTTCGTTGGAGTCAGAGGCTTCAATACCAGAATGTCTCAATTGCTTTCCATTAAAGTCCCTATCGATTGGATCCACTTAGTTGAACTGCATAAATGTTGTCATGACTTAAGGGAAGTACAAGTTTCAGTCCAATTACTGTAAAAACATAGAAAGCATCTTAGAAATTGAATCAGTAGGTTTGCAAGCAAGGGAAATTAATAACGCATCATTTCAGGTTCTTCGTGTGCTTTTATTTTATGCAAAATGAAATTCCTACCTTTTTAAGCAACGATTGTGAATGGAAGTCTCAGCTGAGGTAGAAGAATGTCCTAATTCTTCTTCATTGAAAGAATTTTTGAAATTGAAGTTCTAGTTGATTTATATCCGTTTTGGTATTATGTTGAAGAAATTTTTCATTCCTATTACTCTAAAAATACAGGAAATATCGTATGAATCAATTTTGTAAAACAGTAAGTCAAAAATTTATGAAAATTTGGAATTTTTATTCTTATGGGAAGTTTCCGATTGTTTCATAGGTACCTAACAAAAGAATAGTTATTTTGTAAAATGTTTTAGTAGTTGAAATCAGAATACATTCGTTTGTTAACAATAATCCTTTGTATGTGCTTTTGTTTTACAAAACAAGGGAATTTGAGAGAAAGCGTAACCAAAGTACTTGTACTTCTCATTAATGTTAAAACGAGCAATTATACTAAATTCTGATTTTAAATTAGTAAAACGTTGACTGAAGCACTGTTTTATACGACATATAGAAAAAATTTGTGCAACTGATTATTTGCAATTTAGTTGTATTTGTATTGAAAGCATGAAAGCATTACGGACAAGTCCAGACGTATTAAAATTTTAAATTTTCATTTTAGCACCGACAAATATATGAAAAAAATCCTTGCAATAACGTTATTTTGCAAAAAATAATGAATTTAGTTTGCAATTAATGCGCAATTAATTGTTTTTACTAATTTTAATACTTATCACGGCGTGGGTTACATTGTTGAAAATTTATCTTAAAAAATATCGAAAATCCTTTTGGGGCGAAATAAAAAAATACATACCTCCTGTAGTGGACCATTAAAAGAACGCGTTGTGATAAAAATTTTTTAAACGTTAACACTTTTACTAGAAGAAATTTTCAAAAATTGCAGAGATAATTTTGAGAAAGTTTTCGTAAAAATAGCGTCACTTAAAAGGAGGATTATTAGCCGGCCAATGAGAGACCAGCACTATACTTGTTGTTTTCAAAGCCAGCTTTTGCGAATGTCGGCGCAAAACTTTGAAATTTGAATAAGTAAAGCTTTTCTCTATTTAGAAAAACACTTGAAGTTAAATTCCAATAGGATAATGAAATTAAAACAGACGAAAGCTATTATTTATAGATTTCTTTTGTTTAAATTATCGTATTAAAACAGTAGTGTACTTATTAGTTGTAATAAAATAATTATTAGGCCATTTTCTCTCTTCTTGGTTCAATTAATCGTTTAATTAATAAAACTGCTTTAATTTATTCCAGAACGCTAATTCGCCGTTCCCACCCCAAAGACGGACACAAATAAAATATTGGGCATTTTAAAGGACGGCTAAAGTGTAAGTACAACTACTTTCTTTCATTTTATATAAACAATTAAATGGTAAAAATAAAATGCAAACGCCAATTTTATAATTTTTTATTAAAATTTTAAAATTGCTGAAATTCCTACCTTATATAAGCGCTGAAGGTGGGTGGAAGCCTCAATAGAGATGCAAGAAGATCCTAAATCCTGAAGGACGAAAGGAAATTGAAATCTGTATCATTCTAGTTGATTTATATGGATATTAGTTTCGTCTGAAAGAAATCTTGACTCCACAAAGACAAATTTCTATCCAATTGCTGTAAAAACGCGAAAAATTAATATAGTTGGCAAAAATTAATGATAAATTTTCATCATTATACCTCTGGAACATGCTCTCAATTGTTTTACAGGTATCATTTAAAAACTGATTGCTATTTTAACAGTTGGCGTTAGAATACCTTCGTTTGTTAGAAGTACGTTTATTTTATGTAAAACAAGTGAGTTTGAGACAAATTACATCAAAACTATTATTTTTGTCAGATTCAACCTCTTACTTTTGTCAATTAAAAGAATGACTGAATGTTTATTTTACAAGACAATTAGAAAAGATGAAAATGCAGTAATGGTATGTGTGTAATGTTATGTGAGTTCGTATTACGAGGTCCATCTATCAAAAATATGAGTTATTACATTAATCTCTGCAAATATACGCGAAATAATTCTTATAGCATTGTCGTTTGCTAATTTAAATGAATTTAGGGCCCTTTTACAATTATATTTATCGTTTTTTCGTCCTTTTTCGCCTTGGCGTGGGTAAAAACTTTGCTTCAATAAACGACAAAAATCTTTGTAGAGCGGATTAAAATAATACATACCTAATATAACGGACCTTCTAAAGAACGAATTTTGACAAAAATTGTTCGGGTCTATGCCCTTTTAATATACGAAATTTGTAAAAATTTACGAGAATGATGTCTCCGTATAAGTGGCGTCACTTGGAAAGACCATTCTCTCAACCAACCAACCAGAAATAAGCATGAAATTCACAGCCAACTTAGTTGATGTAGCTACACGAATTTGAAATCGTTGTATTAAGAATATAAATATGTTTATTTATTTAAAGGAATTTATATGATATGTTTAATTTATGTTCGAACCGAAATGTTTATTTTTACTGTAAGTAAATTATTTCAGAATGTTTATTCTCATCAACTCCCATAATACTTGACAAACATCGTTTAAAACTTTCGTAGTAGTGCAGTCGAGCTAATTATTTACTTTTTAAATGCCTAATTAATGCAATATTCTATTTATTTGTTTATTTAAGTTATAAATTGTGCTCGCGCTCATTTTTATAGCTCAACAAGCGTCAGATTTGAGCTTCTTTTTTTTTTAATAAACAGTTGACAATTAGTATTTTGTCTTTCATTTACTTATTATTGATATTGTATAATANTCATCGTTTCACCGTCTGGTATAAATTGTTCATTATGGTCAGTTCTTAAGTCCCACAAATGTAAAACACCACTTTGGTCTGCCACCAACAGTTCCACTTGGTTAGGATGAAGACAAACTGATGTTACAGGAGCTGATGTTTGAAATATTTTTGCTGCGTTTCTGTGTGTTTTCGCCCTATAGTCCCATATACGAGCACTGCAGTCTTCTCCGCCAGTAAACATCCATTTACAATCCTCTTGGAAGCCAACACTAGTAACATTCTTTGACAAACCCTCGTAATTAATAACAGGATTGGGGTTATTTGAAGTTAAGTCGTACATACGAATCCGCTGATATCCTGTGGCTGCGAGTAACTGCTTATTGGGGGTGATTTCTAAAGCATTCACTTGGGACTCTGCATGTTGCATCGTTCTCTGGCAAATACCTGTATGTGTTTGCCATATTTTTATTGTATGATCGTAACCTCCCGTTGCAAGAATAATTTGTGAATTATCACTATTGCTGTTGAGGACCATTTTCCTTTTATTTCCAAATTATTCGTATTTCTAAGGTTATGTCATTATCATAAGCATAGATAATATATTATCTATGGATAATATCATAGGTCATTATTTACCATTGATTTACCGTTAAATTTTGAAGGTTTTCTAGTCTAGGGTTATGCCAGAGAAGTATGTCAACCATTGATTATTATTCCGTATAGGCAACTCCCAGAATTTGTATTTCAGCAGTTAAAACGGTTGCATATACTGAAAACTATTTAAAAATATTTCTCTTAATTATAAAGCTGTTTTTTATTAAGAATGATTTAAGATTTGTTTGATATTGTTAAATGAATTAATTAATTAAGGGAATTTATTTAAAATCTATATTTCCATTGCGCCTAAAACAACCACGATTGTTTTGTGTACGATTTCGAATAAATATCAAACTTACAACATGAAAAAGCGCACCTAAACTTTAAGACCATTTCTTATGAACCTCATGGGTTTGATAATGTAAAGCCATATAGAAAAGTACGTACAAATTAATTATACAAGCTGATTTATAAATAATTAATGAAAAATTAATAGTTTACAATCTAAATTACTATTAATGAATTTCGGTGGTTTTTCGAAAATTCAACAACTTTTGCAAGAAATATACTTAACTATTTGTTAATAATTGACAATATAAATAAACATTATACATTAAATCAAAATTTCAAATATTTGCTCGATTTTAATTCTTAATTTTGAAATTTATGGAGGTCCATATAGGCAACTCCCAGAATTTGTATTGCAGCAGTTAAAACGGTTGCATATACTGAAAACTATTTAAAAATATTTCTCTTAATTATAAAGCTGTTTTTTATTAAGAATGATTTAAGATTTGTTTGATATTGTTAAATGAATTAATTAATTAAGGGAATTTATTTAAAATCTATATTTCCATTGCGCCTAAAACAACCACGATTGTTTTGTGTACGATTTCGAATAAATATCAAACTTACAACATGAAAAAGCGCACCTAAACTTTAAGACCATTTCTTATGAACCTCATGGGTTTGATAATGTAAAGCCATATAGAAAAGTACGTACAAATTAATTATACAAGCTGATTTATAAATAATTAATGAAAAATTAATAGTTTACAATCTAAATTACTATTAATGAATTTCGGTGGTTTTTCGAAAATTCAACAACTTTTGCAAGAAATATACTTAACTATTTGTTAATAATTGACAATATAAATAAACATTATACATTAAATCAAAATTTCAAATATTTGCTCGATTTTAATTCTTAATTTTGAAATTTATGGAGGTCCATATAGGCAACTCCCAGAATTTGTATTGCAGCAGTTAAAACGGTTGCATATACTGAAAACTATTTAAAAATATTTCTCTTAATTATAAAGCTGTTTTTTATTAAGAATGATTTAAGATT